AAGGCGAACAAAGGAGACAGAACACCCTAGCACACAAAGGGCGGCCAAAAACCAAGCAGTAAACGGCCTAGCAGGGGCAGAACCCAAGGAACTTGTAGAAGGGAACCCCAAGCCACAAGGGCAGTACTTACAGGGCACCTAGGGAAGGAAACCCTAGGCGCATGCAGCCCGAGTACTAGAGAATCACTCCTGGCTCACGCACCACCTAGAATACAGACACCACATTCTAGATACAGTGCTGAAACAACCACCGGAGCCAGAGCACACAACCTCAGCCTCTAGCATCAGCCTTAGAACTAATTGTGGATAGCCGGTGCGGTGGGTCTGGGGCTTCCCCTTCCCCCTCCCGGGGAGGGGGGAGCTGTGCTGACAGCGGCGCGGTGACGTGTGACATCATGATCGTTTGTTCGTTTCTTTTAGAGGAGTTCTATCTACTTGTTCGGTTTGTGGTAGCAATTTTCAGCAGAATAGGGGTTTGTTTTGGGACGCTTACCTTTCTGGGTGCCTGACCCAGTCGATGGCAGACATAGAATACTGTAACCCCGCGATTATCCGGGATTCAAACATCCGGAAAACGCCCTTATACGGCCAAAATCGTGATCGGATAAAGTTATCACAATATCCGGCCAAAATGGCCACAGGAACCGGATAAAAATACGGCCATACCGTATTAATCCCGTCTGTGGCTCTAGACGCACTGTGGAGGAGGGGATGGGGTGGGTGGGTGGTGTTGGGAGGGTGGGAGGGGTGCGTCAGGAGGGACCACCTGGGTACAGGAATTACCATTAATTTTAGAACAATTAATCATAGCCAAAAACAAATGAAATAAGTACTAGTAATTAAATAACAACAAATAAATAAGTTTCCTAAAAGCATTGTGCACAGGCTGAAGTTTCCTTCAAAAATATTGTGAATTTTTTTCCTCCTGGCGGCCTACGTAACGTGCTATAGCTGCCCCACCCCAAGTGGACCCATCCAACACTGGTCAACCCATGTGCGTCCGTCCCTCGTGTTATACACAGTGCTGCGCCATTAGTGAACTATTTTTTTTACATAACTTTTTTATTTTCATAGTAACTTTGAACATTTTTGGCCAAGACTATGTCTGGTCGCAGCATCAGTCGTTCTGAAGGTGTTAAGAGGAAGAAAGTTGTCCTAACAATTAAAGACAAGTCACTGTTATACACCTCAACCAGTGCGGCCTCACAGTGTTGCGCCATTAGTGAAATATTTTTTTAAATGACTTTCTTAATTTTCATAGTAACTTTGAACATTTTTGACAAGCTACGTGTTGTTCAACCAGTGAGGCGTCACAGGCAGCCAAGCGCCTTCAACAAGTGAGGCGCTACAGGCAAGCCAAGCGCCTTCAACAAGTGAGGCGCCACAGGCAAGCCAAGCTCCTTCAACAAGTGAGGCATTACAGGCAAGCCAAGCGCTTTCAACAAGTGAGGTGCCACAGGCAAGCCAAGCGCCTTCAACAAGTGAGGCATTACAGGCAAGCAAGCGCCTTTAACAAGTGAGGCATCACAGGCAAGCCAAGCACCTTCAACAAGTGAGGGCATGCAAGCGCTTCAACAAGTGAGGTGCAAGCAAGCGCCTTCAACAAGTGAGGCCTCACAGGCAACCCAAATGCCTTTAACTAGTGACGCTTCAGCAGCTGGCAGTCAAAACTAACTTAGCTTAATGAACTGTACAGTAATTTTAAGTGTTAATTTTAGTGTTGTGTTAGTATAGGTTACGTAAATTGTTAAGAATTTTTAACTTCAAGATGTGTGGCATCAATCAAGAAGACTAACACCAACAAGGTAAGTTGAGGTTTCTAGTTGAATATTTAATAATAGTATGTGGTAAGGGAATTCAAATTATGTTGTTTGTAGTATAAAAATAGTTGGAAATGGTCACTTTTGGACTCGTAGGTGAAAAAGTACCATTATCCGAAAAATGTGATAATGCGGCTGGGGGTCCTTCCCATATAGTCCGGATGATCGAGTGGAGACAGTACTTCCAACCACATGGGGGTTTCTAAAGGCCATTGCTCTCCTTGCCTCTTCTGAGGGGGCCAGGTTCTGGCTCATGGTCCCCGGTAGGCCTATAGAACTACATACACATGATTGATGCCAAAGTCTGACATTAGCATATCAGCTCCTAGAATGCTCCAGGGAGCCGAAGAGGCACCCCCCCAGAAAAAAATAAAAACAAAAGAAAACCCCCGCAAAAGTACTCAGTTCCCAGAGGCAACAGGAACTGGCGACAGCGTAGGTAGCAGGTCGCGTAACACCTTGATGCCTTAACCAGTACAATACCAGTCCCTACCCAAGACCAAAAAAGGGCCCCAAGCCCCAGCTGGCCCCAAGGGCGAGGCAAATGCCGAGCAGCAAGAACCTCTACGGGAATGGTTCCGAACGCCCCAAGGAAGATAACCCTGTCACGCATGGGCAGTATTCACAGGGCGCTTAGGGAAGGAAACCCCTAAGTGCATGCAGCCCCGGTACTAATGAGGAACACCTGGCCGCCGCACAACATAAAAACACAGCAGTGAGCGCCTCATAGGTGCTGTATCCCTTGCATCCGACCTTTGTGTTAGGTCCTTATTACGCCTGGCTTCCCCAATATTATGACCCTCATGTTCTTCAAACAATAAGGTTTGAATTTCACCGACAGAGCATTATCTTTCAACACCGCGTCGGACAGGTATTTGGGAGCCAGAAGCGCGTGCACCACCCATGGTTGCTCATTCAGTACTAACCCAGCCAGCAGCCCTAGGGCATTCTGGAATTTTTTTCCAAGATGGCTGCCTCTCACTGGAGGTCCTAAGAGTCCATTTCGTACACAACCAACCTCGTACACATTTAGAATTGGTTACGAAAAATCAAAACGAGTTTTCTCGGTTGACGCAGTTTCCCGCCGACCGAGAAAACTCGGTTGGCGCAATTAAGTGGTTAAGGTGCTCAAACTCGCCCCCCCCAGGTAAACCTGCATAAAAGTAGCAGTTTCCTGCCAATCAATCGTGCGGGTCCGACAGAACCCATGCCACGCCCCCAACGAAAAGAAAGGGCAGTTTGCCAGCCAGGAAGACTCCGGAACCTCCAAACGCCCCCAAAATGGGAAGAAGAACCAAACTCAAACGAGGACGGATCCATTGCAGAGGCATAACCCGGGTCTCGCAAGAGGTATGCCGCAAGAACTTCCTGAGCCACTTTCGCGGAGATACGGGAAGCAGAAAACCTCTGGAAGGACGCATTCGAGGTACCCAAAGGCGCCCGGAACCGAACCAGGGGAGGAGCCGAACCCAAATCATACTCATACAGCGAAGGGGGGTAAGGAAATCCCTCCCCCCTGCAACAATAAGCCCTGCGAGGAAGGCAAAAGCACCCAAGCGGGGTCACAGGGGGGCCCAAGGCCCCCAGGTTGACTCCTCCCCAGCCCCAGGATCCCCCACGCTGGGACCCGGGGCAGAGCCGTCCTTCAAACCCTCTACCCCTGAAGAAAAGGCAGAGTCCAAGGGAAAGGCAGACAAGAAGGGGGTCTGCTGGTGGGACCCAGAAGCCTCGGCAGGAGGAACCGGCTCAAATGCCTCTGTCCCGGACCTGGATGGGGCAGCCCCCGAGGTAGCCTGGTGGATAGCGCGCAGGACTCGTAATTCTGTGGCGCGGGTTCGATTCCCGCACGAGGCAGAAACAAATGGGCAAAGTTTCTTTCACCCTGAATGCCCCTGTTACCTAGCAGTAAATAGGTACCTGGGAGTTAGTCAGCTGTCACGGGCTGCTTCCTGGGGGTGGAGGCCTGGTCGAGGACCGGGCCACGGGGACACTAAAAGCCCCGAAATCATCTCAAGATAACCTCCTCGACCGGGCCGCGGGGACACTAAAAGCCCCGAAATCATCTCAAGATAACCTCAAGATAACAGGGTAAGAAACCCAAAGAAACAAGGGTAGATGATAACACTGAAACTCCCCTGTTAGGGCCTAACAGAGGGCCACCAAAACAATATCAGGGGAACTATAGACCCACGAGGTAGAACCTCCACCAGGCAAACAAAAACAAAACCTATGAAAAACCCTGCAAAAGTACACAGTCTCCAGAGGCAACAGGAACCGGTCGCCGCTAAGGTAGCAGGCCGCGCAACACCTTGATGCCCTAACCAGCACAACACCACTCCCCTACCCAAGGCCAAACAAGGGCCCCCAAGCCCCAGCTGGCCCCAAGGGCGAGGCAAATGCCAAGCAGCAAGAACCCCTACGGGAGCGGTTCCCGAACACCCCAGGGAAGATAACCCTGACACGCAGGGGCAGTACTCACAGGGCGCCTAGGGAAAGAAGCCCCTAAGCACATGCAGCCCCGGCACTGATGAGGTATTCCTGACCACCGCACACAACACAAAGACAGCAGAGAAAGCCACACGAGGCAAACACCGCCCAGGAATTTGAGGCCAGAGAAGCGTCTATCCCGGTTGACATTAGCTTACGAACTAAAGGCAGCTGGCGCGGTGAGGTCCGGGGTTCCCCCCTTCCCCTCCCGGGGAGGGGAGGAGAGGGGAGGGCTACATGGACGACCGGCACGGCAGTAAATTGATTGAATGTTTCCTTGGGATTGTAGGGAGTTTCTACTCTTCGGTTTTTTGTTGTAGTTTTTTACCATGTGGGGTTTGTTTTGTTATGCCTACCTTTCTGGGTGCCTGACCTCGGTCGATGGCAGATAAGGAAAACCCCCAACCATAATGGGGTTTTCCAGGGCCATTGCTTCCTGAAACCTCTCTGAAGGGGCCAGGTTCTGGCACTGGTCCCTGGTAGGTCTGAACTCCATAGCTAATATCCCGGTCTAACATAACATACATTAGCCCGATAAGCTCCAGGGAGCCGTAGGGGCTCCCCATAGAAAAACTACCACATTTGTAAGAAAAAAAGTAGGGTGCAAAGCAACAAAATCAGTGACTCAAAAATATAATTACCAATTAATTAATTTGATTTCTAATTAGAAACTCACAATATGCTGGAACTCACCAGGCTCTTCATTTGAGACAGCAACTCCGAGTAGAAAATGTGAGAGCACTCCTTGGTGTCGTCCCTTGCCATAGTAGCCTCCAATGATAAGCAAGTCGAGCTCTGACACAAGGGAGTCAACATACTGTTGGGGTATTACAAGAAACTCAGTTATCAAAGACAATGTTTAACAACTATACTCAAAATAACTTTATGAGAAAATAATAAGAGTTTGATCCTCAGTACTTTCAAGTACTATACTATACATTATTTCCCTAATTTTTACACCACACAGTGAATTGTTTTGTATTCTATATAACTTAGTTGGTCATTATGTTCAATAATCATTTTAATAATTTCTTTCCATGCTTGATTTTTCAACTGCTCTATATATCTTCAAAGTTTTGTTTAATTTTATATATCCACATCTAAGAGTTATTTGAAACTTGAAAATCCTTCCACGCAGTCAATTTTTCATAAATTTTGCAATATCTATATATTGTACTGTATTTTGTTATTCTCAGACCAGGAACCAGGAGGAATGGTCAGAGACCGGGCCACAGGGATACTAATCCTTGGCATCTTCAACAGGTACTCAAATGGTAGGTAGTCTTTTTACATTCGCAATTGGTGTATCAAAGAAATTCAGTTTCATAGAAATCTCTCCCTAATAATTTGTGTAAAAATAAGATAATGAAGAAATGCTCATTACTGTAGAATAATTAGCTCACATTAACATACCACAGGGAAGGCCACCACCACCCCCTCAAGAGTGAGCCCCAAAGGCAGAAGCTTGCCATCAATAGCACAGGTGCAAGACAGTATGGTTTTCGATCAGGAAGATCCTGTGTATCGAATTTACTCAGTTTTTATGATCGGGCCACAGAGATATTACAGGAAAGAGATGGCTGGGTTGACTGCATCTATCTGGACCTAAAAAAGGCTTTCAACAGAGTTCCACATAAGAGGTTGTTCTGGAAACTGGAAAATATTGGAGGGGTGACAGGTAAGCTTCTATCATGGATGAAAAATTTTCTGACTGATAGAAAAATGAGGGCAGTAATCAGAGGCAATGTATCGGAATGGAGAAATGTCACAAGTGGAGTACCACAGGGTTCAGTTCTTGCACCAGTGATGTTTATTGTGTACATAAATGATCTACCAGTTGGTATACAGAATTATATGAACATGTTTGCTGATGATGCTAAGATAATAGGAAGGATAAGAAATTTAGATGATTGTCATGCCCTTCAAGAAGACCTGGACAAAATAAGTATATGGAGCACCACTTGGCAAATGGAATTTAATGTTAATAAATGTCATGTTATGGAATGTGGAATAGGAGAACATAGACCCCACACAACCTATATATTATGTGAGAAATCTTTAAAGAATTCTGATAAAGAAAGAGATCTAGGAGTGGTTCTAGATAGAAAACTATCACCTGAGGACCACATTAAGAATATTGTGCAAGGAGCCTATGCAATGCTTTCTAACTTCAGAATTGCATTTAAATACATGGATGGCGATATACTAAAGAAATTGTTCATGACTTTTGTTAGGCCAAAGCTAGAATATGCAGCTGTTGTGTGGTGCCCATATCTTAAGAAGCACATCAACAAACTGGAAAAGGTGCAAAGACATGCTACTAAGTGGCTCCCAGAACTGAAGGGCAAGAGCTACGAGGAGAGGTTAGAAGCATTAAATATGCCAAAACTAGAAGACAGAAGAAAAAGAGGTGATATGATCACTACGTACAAAATAGTAACAGGAATTGATAAAATCGACAGGGAAGACTTCCTGAGACCTGGAACTTCAAGAACAAGAGGCCATAGATTTAAACTAGCTAAACACAGATGCCGAAGAAATATAAGAAAATTCACCTTCGCAAATAGAGTGGTAGACGGTTGGAACAAGTTAAGTGAGAAGGTGGTGGAGGCCAAGACCGTCAGTAGTTTCAAAGCGTTATATGACAAAGAGTGCTGGGAAGACGGGACACCACGAGCGTAGCTCTCATCCTGTAACTACACTTAGGTAATTACACTTAGGTAATTACCAATTATCAAGACACCAGCTGTAATTACCAGCTGCAAGGAAAAATAACAAAGTGGCCAGATCCATGCTGAACAGGCCAGTCACGGCCCTTTCACTGCTTCAGAGATATAGGATCAAAGTCAACTGAAGGTTAGGTCATAAGACCCTCGGGACCCACAGAACAGTGGCCTGCTGGAAATAGACAGACATCCATCACATCCTACTCTGATGCAATAGGGCTAGAGTAAACGAAGTGGTGTGCCAAGTCTCAAACACTGTAAGTCAGAAGGACGTCAAATCCTCAAAAAAACCAGCGTTGAATGTAATGAAACGCCATTTTCTGGGTGAGTCCCGGAGGCGTCCCGGAGGCTCCCCGGAGCTATCCAGGCTGAATGGATATGTATAACTTTCTGGAATCAGTCAAAGTGCTAGGAGTTCTTGCCTACCGGGGACCATGAGCCAGCAATGGCCTATAGAAACCCCCTTGTGATTGGGAGCATTCTATGTCTGCCATCGACCGGGACAGGCACCCAGAAAGGTAGGCGCCCCAAAACAAACCCCTATTCTGGTGAAATTATTGCTACCGAAAGCCGAACAAGTGGACAGAACTCCCCAAACAAAATTATCAAACTAGCATGACGTCATCACGTCGCCGCGCCACCGTCTGCGCAACCCCCCCTCCCCAAGAGGGGGAAGGGGGAGCCCCAGACCCTCCATGCCGGCGATCCAACTGGCAGCTCTTAGGCTGGGTGTCAAAAGACGCGAAAACGCCGCCGACCGGAGGGAGGGAGGGAAGCCAGGGAGCCTCCGGGACTCACCCAGAAAATGGCGTTTCATTACATTCAACGCTGGTTTTCTGGGGGGAGCCCCGTTGGCTCCCCGGAGCTACCTTACCAAAAGATAAGTAAAACAGGGAAGGAACCGGGAGGCGGATACCACACGTCCTAACTGAACAACCAAAACCAGAGACAAAAACAAAGACCAAAACGAGAAGAAAAAGACCACCCAGGCCAACGACCAGGACGGCCCCAAAACTCAAGAGCAGGCCAGAGGAAAACAACGCCCAGGACAGCAAGTGGAATGGAGCAGAAGGAACCGCAACACTGAACGTAAGCAGGAGCGGCGCTGCCAGCACCACCCAACATGAGGTGACAGGACAATCCCAGACGACGGTCCCAGAACAACCCCGAAGGGAAGACAAATCAACCCTATCAAAGACCGAAGGACCCTTCGCAGTGATAGGAAAAGCAAACACCGCCCCCGAGACGAAACGTGCAGGTGGGAGACCAATAACAAACCCACCTGTGCCGACAGAAACGACGAGAAACGAACACAACAATCGAAAGCGCAAAACGCGAATCTAAAAACAGCGACTCCGCAACCCAAAGGAGCAACAGAACCAGCTCCAGCAGGGAAGAATGATACACGCATCCCCGAGGCATCCAAGAGGAGAACTACCGAGGACGAGAACCGCAGAAAAACAAACACACCCGGTCCGGAAACGGAACAAAGAAAAACCGAAACCAGGACCGGAACCCAGCAAACCCGGTTCCAAGAAAAGGAACCAGGAAGGCAGGAGCGGCAGACCGAAAAGTCCAAACCCCCCCCCCCCCCACAGACAGCGCAACCCGAAGCCTGCAGAAAACCACACAGAAATCGCAGGAACTCGGTACCAAAACGGAACACCGGAGAAGTCCAAAAGCAGGACGTGGAACATGGACAGAGGTCCACCGGAGCACCATACAGGATAATCACGAAGCACTGACTCGGATACACAAAAAGTGTAGCATGGGGGAGGAAAAACTGAATTAGGCAAGGAAAACCACGAATACGGCCCAAGGAGCGGCCGGGAAGTAACGTACACGACCAACCACAAAATGTGTAGAGGAGCGCGTACATACCTGAGGGACCTTACAGACAGCAGGGTGCAGTCAGGCACCGAAGATAGGCAAGGAAAGTGTCCAGACAGGGAAAAGACTCGGGGGTCTACAACGAAAACAAAAGCACTGAAATGCGGGGCAAAGCCCCACAGGACAAGAAAGAACAAAAGATGGACAAAAGGCACTAAAGACACATGCAAGGTGACCAAACACCACACCAAACACCGCAGTCAGGAGCCATCGACGCAATCCCGCCAAGCGGGGAAGAGGAAACAAGGATGGAACAGTGAACAAGGGTGGCGGAGGGAGTAGAGTATCCCAAGAAGATACTCGCTCCAAACGCATGAGCCTAACTAGAGAAGCAAAGCTCTACAAAGTACCAGCGACGGAACTCAAACCGTTCCGTACGTCCAACAAAAAGTCCTGCCAACCTGTGGGGAACTGAGGCGGCGCCCAAGCATATAACCAGCAGAGTAGCGAATAATAACTAGTCTACCGGCGAGTGTGGTCTAGAACAGACATGCGAGACACCGGACCGACACTCAGTGCGCCCAACCTGCACCATTGCCTGCCAACGATCACCAACAACTACTGTATATGCAACAAAAGATAAGTAGTTCCGTAGTGATTGCGTTTATTGACCAATCTCCACGAAACAATAGAAACTGGGATAGTGGCACATGCCACCCGTGCGGCACATTGTGGGCACGAAACAATGAGCATAAAAGGGATAAGCTCAGAATCAGGAAAGACCGGAGGAATGACCGGCACGGTAACAGGCCCGGTGATGTGCGGAACCAATTACCATGTAACGTGGTGGTGGGGCCCCACTATTAGTGCAAGGGCGGGTTGGACATGTAAGTGAGTGGGAACGTATGTTAATCTTCTTGTTTGAGTAGCTGTTCACTTGAGCCAGTTAAGCAAGTCCCAGCTGTGTCTGGGTACAAGTGACAGGATGAACAACCCAGTGGGATTTCTTCCTATTGGGGAGTGTTGTACATGCTGCTATGGCAGTGTGTCCACTCACAAGATGAGTGGCGCTGCCCAATAAACTCGCCCCTTGGAGCAAAATTTAATTTAATGTACCTCGCACGGGCCAAGAGGCCCTCCGCAAGGCCACTGGACTTATGTCCGTATGCAGGTACACACAAGGGGACACAGGAGGTAGTGAGCACCCAAAGGAGTCACAGACACTAAAAAGAACCCGATTAATGGCAGAGTTAAAGGAAGC